CGTGTTATGACCCTTGTAGGGGACACCATGCCACCGCGTATGACCGGAGTAGGGGACACCAGGCAGGGTTAGAAATTTTGTCAGGCAGCAAGAACTTAATTGCTGCTAGAGAAAGTGGCAGGTAGCAAACTAGCTCTAGTAACTATAGCCCGCGTACGGTTACCGCTGGCCAGCGGCAACCGTACGCGGGCTATAGTTACTAGAGCTAGTAGCAAACATACTCAGTCAAGCAGAATCTTTGGTGCTTTCATTATGGTTTATTATGAAACTTTCTGGCAACTAATATTTTGCTTGTACTACAAACTGACCATTGTAAGCAGCAAAACTGCTGCTTGCTGCCTTTAATGTCGATCCATTTAAACTGACCCTTGTAGGCATCAACACTGCTGCTTGCTGCATATATACTTGCAGGTATAAACTCTTGTCATACCACTGCATTACGATTCCAGTACGGTACATTACCTTATCACCAGTCTCTCATATCCGTCGGGCTTTATCAACTGTGCTCCCTGATAGTCGTGAGACTATTTATAACTCTATTGACGATGCTGCTAGTGCTAGGTAAACGAGACGATATCCTCTGACACTGATCGATATCTCTACCACGGACTACCGTATGTATCAGGAGTAGATAATAGGGAACCTATTATCTACTCCTGGTATAATGTAGATCAGAAGAAGCAGTCAAGATTGTCTCCACTGCTGCGTGTTTGTTTAAAACCCTATCTATGTGTACATTGACTTTCTCCCAATTGAGGTCATTCGGGAGACACATACATAATGCGTTCGTCTGACATTCATAGATTTTTTGTTTCTGGTTAAAGAACATATCAGAATTGATATCAGTAATCAAAATAATTATTTTTCTGAAATGAACCTAGCTGGCATGTGAGAAAATTGCGTTGTCATTTTTGGTAGCTAATAATAGGATTTTGTTTCGAGAGAGGAAGAGAGAGAAAGACAAAGAGAGAAAGAGAAAGAGAGAGAGAGAGAGATCTCTCTCTCTCTCTCTCTCTCTCTCTCTTTCTCTCTCTCTCTCTTTCTCTCTCTCGCTCTCTCTCTCTCTGGGTTTCATCTTGTTCTTCATTGTTGTGCATGAGGCATCGTCGGCTGTGGTGGCGGTTGCCGTGGCGATCAGGTAGTGCGTTGGAGCTTCGACAAGTCGATTGCACTAGTTGCGAGCCAACCATTTTTTTTAAATATTTATAGGTGGCCCCTAGATATTGAAATGCGCGTGGCTAGGGTCAGTAGTGCAGAACCAATGTAGTAGGACGGCTAAGGAAAGGGTGCAATGTTAGGGCACAGGGGGGGGGGAAGATGGTTGCATAGTCATGGTTAGTCTGCATTATTTCAGGAGTCTATCAATATTGATAGACTCCTGATTATTTGTATCCCCCGAACGAGTTCGGGGGGGGGGGATACTATGGATTTGGCCTCGGCGTGCCGCGGCCGCAGAGATTTCCTTGTGAGCGCTCTACCGGCTGCAGTTCTTCTCGGATCATCTTCAAAATATGCGCATGAAGGTGGCGTTATCATTAAAATAAAACGCAAAACGGGTTATACAAAACGATTGAAAGCTAGATAGAGAAAAGGTACGGTAAGTACTAAGTAGAGCAAAATCGGGAACGAAGGCGCGAATTCTCTTAAGAAAGTTTTTATTGTTTATAAGCGCGCCAGGAGGGAGCTCTTTTAAATAATCCGGTCTCAATGGCAAACGGTTGTATTGCTGTAAGTAAGTACGACCCGAAAAGTAATTTAGGCAAAAGCAGGTACCAAAGCAGCCAAGGCCGAATTGTCTGAGAAAATTGTTAGCTCATCTGAGCGTAGTCAGATGCAGCTTGTAGAATCGGGATGATTGTCCGTGCGTGGCGTGCGCGTGACGGTGCGTCCGGCCGTACCGTCGCGTCGTGCCGTCAACAGTTGGGCACAAATCCTTAACCGCTCGTACGTATGGTCACGATATTAGGGACGTCGGGGGGGGGAATCGTAAAAAGGATTCAGGATGACATAATTTTTGGGGTGCAAGGGTGCAAAAGGTCAAGGATGTGTAAACGGAGGGGGAATATTTCCTCCTTAACTTAAGGTATAGCAGGAAATACGGAATTGCGGCACAACTCTAACGGCTCGACCTATGTATGCTGCTTAATATTCGGTGTACTGAGTGTGATGGGGCAGGAAACCCATTCACCAAATTGCGAATGTGGAGGTCAGCAGGTCCAATGAGGGCAATGGGGTTAAAAGGTCAGAAATCAGACTTTTTCTGAGGACATGGGCTAACGGACGTGTGAAAAACTGTTTTTGTTTTTTCAGCGCTGACCTACCGATTTTTATGCAGTTTAATTGAAAGGACCATGAAATGTTGCTTTCGCACTGGACGTGCGATAGAGTAAGTGTCATGATAACGCTTTTTACGCACTGCAAGAGGAGGTTAAGCATGGATGTCTTGAACTTGCCGTCAATAATGTCAGCAGTGTTCTCATATTCAGGCACATCCATAATCTGGAAAGGCCAATATGCCTCAATATGCTCTCTCTCTCATCTCTCTTTCTTTCTCTCTCTCTTCCCTCCTCTCTCTCTCTCACTCTCTCCTTTCCTCTCTTCTCTCCTCACTCTCTCCTTTCCTCTCTTCTCTCCTGTCTCCTTCGCCCTCCTCTCTCCTTTCCCTCATCTCTACGCTTTCCTCCCTTCCTCCCCCTATCACTCTCTCCTTCCTCCTCACTTCTCTCTCTCTCTCTCATTCACCTCTTCTCTCATTTACGCTCCTCGCTCTTCTTCCGCCTCTCTCCTTCCCGCTCCTCCATTCCTTCTCTGCGGAAAGCTGCATCACAAATGAGTGATCGCTATGTAGTACGTGCGCCACGCAGGCACATCGTAGGGGCAGGGTGTTGCTATCCTCGGGCGTGGACATTAACGCGGGTGTGGGCGCGGGCGTGGGCGTGGGCGTAACATTAGTGCTGCCACGTTGCGGTCACCTCCCTCCACGCCCGGGGGATAGCATTACCCATCGTGGCACACGCCAGAGCAAACCCTAATGTACATAGCATAATTTATTCAAACACATGCAGGGGGGCGCGGCGTTTTCGGTCGTGTGTGTGCGTGTGCGTGTGCGTGGTGCGTGTGCGTGTGGCGTCGTGTGTGTGCTTTGTCGTGCGTGTGTGCTGCGCGCGTGTGGTGCGCGGCGGCGGTGCGTGTGCCGTGCGTGTGTGCGTGTGTGCCGTGTGGCGTGTGCGCGTGTGCGTTGTGTGGCGTGTGTGCGTGTGTTGCGTGTGTGCGTGTGTGTGTCGTGTGTGTGCGTGTGCGCG